TCTTATCGTTGGCGGTCTCCTCGCGGACGGCCAGATACATGCACGGGACGTATGTCAAGAAGTAGATGATACCAGCGCACGCCGCCGCCAACTTGGCCTTCGAGTACAACACCGATATCAGGAATCTATGTAGGAATCAGATAATATGGTGATTAAGGTATTCTTGGGTTTGGTTTAAGGGCTGTGTGTGTGTGTATGGCTTACGAGAAGACAATGTTGGCGATGACAAAGATCTCGATGTAGAGGAATACGATGACTGGGTTGGAATAAGTCAACACCAGACCGTAACGGAGTATTAGTGTGAGCACCACACTAGTGATGGACATCTGGGTGAATGAGGTGATAAACCAGGCCAACCAATGCACCAACGAGTTCAGTCCCATCGTCTTCATCACCTCTTTCAGCCGCTGCTCCTTCTCGTAGACCACCGACTGGACTAACATCGATAGCGAGTACACCCACGATATGGCCATACAGAGAGGCATCACGTGACTGATTATGAACAGGAACCTGGATGATGTAGAAAATGTTACCACGATTAAAATGTTGCCATTATTTGATACCCTTATAATGAATAATCAATATCACGTACTCATCAGATATATAGCACGGGTACGGCATTTGGTGCAGGTAAGTGCCCGGCTCTGACACATCACGATCGGTCTGAAGGCTGACCATTGCCCGCTCGAGTATGTCCTGAATCCATAGGAAACCGAACTTATAGTAACTGTAGCTCCAGGACGGGCCCGGAGACCAGAATCGGTCCCGTATTTTGGCCGTCGTCTGAGTGAATGTCGCGTTTTGGCGTATTTTGTATGTGATATGCGGTGGCAATGAAGTCGAGTTGGGGTCGATGTCAAAGATCACACCTGAGGAATGGATACAAAACAAATGTTAATAATCTGATTACCCGTACGAGAAGGTAATGTCCACTTACTGGCGACGACCGTAATGTTATCAAAATAGGCCTGTTTTTGAAAGTAATGGATCAGATCCTTCTCGGAGGCGAAGCCGCGGAAGACGTTGAGCGAGATATCTTTGGTCAACGACAGCCAACTGCAGGCGGCCTCACGTATTAGCCGCAGTTCGGCCTTAAACTCGTCCAAATCGCCGCCAACGCTGATCGAGCGGTTCAACAGTTCCAATCCGTGCGCCAAATCCAAGAAGCGGAATATCTTCGGCAAATGGAGAATGTCTTCGCGAATCTTGCGGACGGTCTCGAACTGGTGTTGAGTGTCGTTACGGTTCAGGTAGTCCTCGATCTCTTGGGACACATTCAACAGTATGTGCGCATAGTTTGTCACTCTGTCCAACAGATCAAAGGTCTGGTTGGCCCGCTGTATGATCTGTTGGGCGGCGGATCCGGTGCCGTTCGGCGCGTACAGAATGGTTGGGTTCGAGTACAACATATTCAACAACATCTTCTGATCGTTGATGAATTGGTTCACCGGCTCGTCGTCCGGGTCTTCGTGCGGATCCGTATCGTTGGACGAGTGCTTTTTGTCGGGCTTTGGGTCCGGTTTGGGTCCGCATATAGTCTCCTGCATCTTCAGAAACACTCGCACCAAACCCTCGATGTTATTCTTCTTCTGCTGGTCGGGTGTCTCCGACGCGGTCTCGTTGTGGCCACTATTGGTCAGGTCTTCATCGCCGCCGTCAACGGAACCGATGGTGTCATTACTGGTGCTGTTTTTGCAGACATCGTTGGGCAGAGACACTGCGATTTGGGACAACTCTTTGAGCGTCACCTCAAACACCGCAAACTTGTTGAGATCGCCGAAGAACTGATTGATCCGCCGTTTGGCCGCCCTATAATCCCAGTCTTTAGCCAACAGATCCCGGATCTTACTCTCGTCGAAGTGCTCGCGAACCTTATGTGTTAAGTCACGTAACTGAGTGTCGGTCAGTGTTTCGCACAAATGGTGGGAAACGGCACCGAAATCGCGGTCATAATCGGCATTCGCTGGCCGTATGAATGGCGACACGAGTGCACCAGAGGTAGTGTCGTTGAGGC